GAAGCAGATTTACTAATATACAATGCTAAAGCTCAAAATGTGCACTTCTCTGCATTATCCGTGTTCATAATCCCAACAGGGCCTTACACAATCCAATCTCTATGACTTTTGACAATGCTTTACTTCAACTGCACACTTCGCCCCTCCCACTCTTCATTCCATCACTCGTGATGAAACCTTTGACACATTGTTCCCTAGACTCTTAAATTCTCTTCCTAAAACCCCTGGTCTTATTCCACCTCTCTCTACCTTCATATAAATTATGAGGACAGATTGGATAGATGATTCTTGTACACTCTTGAACATAGATTAAAAGTTGATCACATTGAAGTTTTCAAGATGATTAAAGGATTTGTTGTGCTGAGGCTCTAAGCTCAGGAATTCCTTCTCGCTACACCACAACGTTTCTCTACCTCACCTTCCTCTTAAAGACACTCCTTAAAACCTACTCCTTTGATCAAGTTTTAGACAATCTGACCAAAATCGCCTTATATGGCAGCAAGTCATACTTTGTTTTATCATGTTCCTGTAAATGACCGGAGTCTTGGGATGTTTTAGTACATTACAGATGCTTTACAAGACGCTATGCAAACATTTTTTTTGTTGCTGATAGAGAGAAGCTATTCCCTCCGATGGCAAAGGGAAGGGGCGCAGAAGGAGAAGAAAACCTCAAAATTATGGCTTGACCATATAGGTGCAATGTCAGAAAGTATTTCCATGCCCCAAATGGGGGGTGATCATCTGGAACTCTCTTCAAAAGTCATTGAATTAAAAGGTTCACTGAAAATTTTAAAACTTACATTGAGAGAGTGTTGCTACATAAGGGTATTAAGTGTTATGGAACCAAGGTGGAAGGATGGAGTTAAGCTACAGATCAGCCATAATCTAAATGAATGACAGGACAGGCTTGTAGTGTTAAATGGCCTAATCTTGTTCTTAAGAGTTCTTTCATGGTGTCAAAGGTCTGGGTGCAAGTTGTTGTTCCTCATTTCTGCAATTCTCCACCTCCCTCTGCCATCAAAGGGATTTTGTGAGAGAGATATCAGGTGATCTATTTCAGGCATAAACTATATTTTTGAAATGTTGCCATGCATTGTGTACTTTGAATAAAGTAGCCAATGAACTGCAAGCAAAAAGACAAGCTTAAGTCATATGGTACCTTCAATGTAGTAAAACATCTCAGGGCATTTCACAGGCTAATACTCATAAATGTTGATGCTGAACCAAAGATGGAGAAATTAGGACACGGTGACTCAGAGCTCTTTTAAACAGGTAGGTTTTAAGGAATCAGAGATAGTAGGAACTGCAGTTGCTGAAGAATCTGAGATAACAAGGTGTAGAGCTGGATGAACACAGCAGGCCAAGCAGCATCATAGGAGCAGGAAGGCTGACGTTTCGGGCCTCGACCCTTCATCAGAAAATGCCTCAAAAGGAAAGAGGTGGGAAGTTTACAGAAGGAATTCAAGAGCTTAGGGTTTAAATGTCTGAAGGTAGGGATGTTAATTGTGGGGCGAAAGTAGTAGAAGATGAACAAGAATCCAGAGTTGCACGAACATAATATTCTGAAATTTCTATAGGGTTAGTGATTTGGAAAGTGCAAAGTAAATTAAAGCTAGTGATAATGTGAAAAGGATTCATTGCATCACAAGACATCAGTAAGATTATGATTTTGTTTTATTCTATGTATTCCCCATCGCTTGTTCGCCACCACTTTCTTCATCGAGGAATATTGAACACTGAAGAAAACTTGCTGTTCCACAATCAGCCAAACGGAGGCAGAAGTGTAAGGCAGATCACCCCACTCCCATGGTGTGGTGCTCCACCCAGTGGATGAGATGAGAACAACGGGCATAAGCTTTAAATTCCAAATGAAGGTGTAAATTTACGTTTGAATGAGCACAAAAATGTTGCCTGATGACCAAGAAATTCACCTGATGAAGTCATAACAACAGAAAACTTGAGCATTAATGTAGAATGTCTAATATTGTTTTGTAATAGGAACTCTTTAAATTAATGGAATCTTTGATGCCTTGACATTGTAGTGGAACTGTTATCAACAAAAGCCATGTTGATGAGTGGTTTTGCAATGTTCAGGCTGAAAGTTTAATAATGGTAGTGGTATGTACAGGATTTTCGTTTGTGAGGCTGTTTGGATAGGAACTTGCCGAACCAAAACTAATTTGTCGCTATTCACTCCCAATGATTCAGAAGAAGTCCAATTAATCAGTTTTCAATAATGAATTTTAAGGACTCACTAACTCTGTAAGACGTTTTGTTTTGTATGCGCTGTATCAAATGATCAAAGGCATCTTCTTTTGAAACTGAGAGTGATGCATAAAAAGGAAGCAGAAATTCTGGCTGCTGTTTGAAACCCTTAATCACAACATTCTGCGGCAATAAATTCCTATCCCTCACCTTGCCCCAGAGGAACAGTGGGGAGGAGGTAGGAGCTTTGGAATTGGAGCACCATATCTGCTCATCTTAGCTTAGCAGCAACAACTCCGGCTGCATTTTTAAATGCTGGCAGCCAGGATAGCTCCTGAAGAAACAGGCAGAGGAGGTTCAGCACCCGCTGCTCCTTTCATTCAACAATTTCAGCCAGTTTCCCTCATTTGCAAAGGGAACAGGCCTAAGTCCTAGTTTAGGTGGTACACTGGGATACCTACAAAGCTACCATTACTAATATGGTTATATCAATGATACAGTAAGTTCAAGGGTAGGTTTTCACATTCCTGAAATGGGTATTTAGGTGCAACATTTCTACTTAGAAAACAGACCTAATAATGGCCAAATTCTATTCTATAGTGTGAATGTTCCTAAAGGAAGGTTCTTAGCTATTTTTTTGGAACACGACTCTTCTAATGCAATAAGATAATCTGCAAACATAAGGAAATCTGCTCAAATTCCTCCAAAATAGTCCAAACGACAGCCAGTTTGCCATAAATGTTTACTTTCATTTGTGGAGCTCTCACTTGATTTATTTTTAAAACTGTCCCATTTTAGAACCAGTTGTGGAATGTGTCTCAGTGTTTGTTTACAGTCTGCAGGAAGTTGTGCTCAAACCACAAATAAATAGGCAAGAATCCTGGAGTATTTCTATCAGATATATGGAGATGAATCATGAAAGACTTTCTGTCACAATGCAGAGATTGCTTGGGCAGACTGCACACTAGTAAGCATCACAAGTTCAACGTTTTGTGAAGTTAATTAAAATGCTGGAAGTGAAGTTTCCAGAATAAATATAGTTGAAACAGTTACGCTTTTCCCAGTATGTTTTATCAAATGCCAGTGGTGATTATTTCTGAAATATTACTGCTACAGAAATAAGCAGTGTTGCTTTGTAGCTTTTGGTGTAAAAATAAACACTTTAAAATTAATTGTGTGCACTGGCAAGCTAGAGACAGGAACAAAAGCAGCTAGGTTTTCATGCTCATGAGACCTCTGCTGAAATATGTACATGTCTATGTGAGTACACACATGAATATGTGTATCTGTGAGACTATATGTATATGAATGAGCAATTGAATGAGTGACTCTGTATCTCTGAGTGTGCGAACATGTTGGGGAGGTGAGGGTAGTACCAATATTTTACTCTCATTCCCCTCCCCTCATTATCAACACATTCCTCAGCTGTGACCACTTGATTTGGCTGCTAGAGAGCTACTAGTGGCCATAGATTTGTATCCCAGTAACAGTTCAAAACCTTCAGAAGTAAAGCAGGGGCACATTTGAGGGACAAGTCTAAAACAGTGTTGTTGTGTACAGCTTGAAACATTGTATAACCATCTGGTTTTTCAGAGTAAGTCCATAAAATCTCTTATCCTACAACCTCCAGTCTGGGCCATAATGTTATTTACACAGTAAAAAGGACAACACCCAGAGCATGGATGGTGGAAGAAGGACTCAGCTGTTACAACAGGCAATACAAAATAATTTTTCACCAAGGTATTTTGATAGTAACAATATGACCTGGCTAGATATATCAACTGGATCATTTCACTGATTCCCCTGCCAATTAGGATTGCACATTTAACTGAAGGGAAATTCAGTATATGGATATTATGCAAACCCATTTTAACTATTAACATCTGCAATATCTCTCTTACACACATACACACACACACACACACATACGTTTAGTGTATGCATACTATTTAACTTAAATTTTTCCAACCGTGGCATAGAAACATGTGCTGCAACAGGATTTTATTTAATAATGACAGCAATTAATAATGTACAAGTTTCCAAACAAGAAGGCAGATTACTACCCGAATGGCTGTAAGTTGTGAGAGGAGAGTGTGCAGTGGGACCTGGGAGTCCTTGTGCACCGGTCACTGAAGGTAAGCATGCAGGTGCAGCAGGCGGTAAAGAAGGCAAATGGTATGTTGGCCTTCATTGTGAGAGGTTTCGAGTACTGGGGCAGGGATGTGTTGTTGCAGTTATACAGGGCCTTGGTGAGGCCACACCTAGAATATTGGGTGCAGTTTTGGTCTCCTTTTCTGAGGAAGGATGCTCTTGCTCTCGACAGAGCGCAGCGAAGGTTTACCAGACTGATTCCAGGGATGGCAGGTCTGACATATGAGGAGAGATTGACTAGGTTGAGATTGTTTTCGCTAGAGTTGAGATGAATGAAGGGGGATCTCATAGAAAATTCTAACAGGACTAGACAGGATAGATGCAGGGAGGATGTTCCTGATGTGTCCAGAACCAGGGGTCACAGTACGAGGATTTGGGATAGACAATTTAGGATGGAGATGAGGAGACATTTCTTCACCCAAAGAGTGGTGAACCTGTGGAATTCATTACCACAGGAAGCAGTTGATGGCAAAACATTGAATGTATTCAAGAGGTGACTAGATATAGCACTTGGGGTGAAAGGGGTCAAAGGTTATGGGGAGAAAGCAGGATTAGGTTATTGAGTTGGACGATCAGCCATGATCGAGAAGAATGGCGGAGCAGGCTCGAAGGGCCAAATGGCCTCCTCCTGCTCCTATCTTCTGTGTTTCTATATCTATTTTCCATTTAAATATTTTCTCATTTTCAAGTATTTCTGCTTTACTCCAGCAGACACCCTACAAGCACTAACCCATACTGAGAGACTCCCTTTCAATATGGATATATTCCAAGAGACCTTGAAAAAAATATTGGCCACTCCCATACAAATAAACAACCTATTCCAAAAGGCCTGCAAATACTGAAACATTCCGAGGGACTCTCTCTCCTAACACCTAAGATAGTCTCAGATACCAAAAGTAAATGACAACATTACCACAAGGTACATTTCTATTTGTATAGCAAGAAAATAATCTGCTACATTTTATTGTGATTGTGACACCATTTCAGATCAGGTATGAATTTGTCTGATTTTTTTTTCACCAGTGGAGTGCTTAGATATCTGGCACTCACATCAGCAGATTGTTGCCAATAACATAAATTGCAATTTTCAGCATGAAAGAGCTCTTGACTCTGTTCGACAGGCAACACATTCTCAATCAAGGATAAAATGGCTGATGTTTGATATTGTACCTAAGCAACAAGTAACAAGCCACCTTGAGTAGAATGGTACCAATGGGAGAAGCAACCATCTTGATGATTCAGTGATAATGTGAAATAGAATACATTTGCCTCTTGTGCATTCCTGATTTTAATCATACCACCACTAGTTACTACATCTTCAGCTGCTTGGCTCCCAGGTTCTGGAACTCTGTCCTAAACCTCTTTGTCCTTCTTTCCTTTTGGTCATTTGTCCCCTTTATTTTGTGTTCAATATCAACATTTAGCAAAATACTGCCAATGTTGGAAATTTGAATTTAAAAAAGCAGGACATACTGGAGAAACCCAGAAACTCGGATGGTCCATGCACGGCAATCGTCCAGCCAACATCATTTATAGCATCGACTTCAGTACAGGAACCTCAGAGGCTTACATACATGAAATTAGTAAGAATAGACTGGCAGCATCTGTGGAGACAGAGATAGAGTTAACGTTTCAAGTTCAGTGTGACTCTTCTTCGGAACTATCAAATTTTGATTGTTAGCACTTCTGTGAATTAACTTGGGATGTTTGCCCATGTTAAAAGGTGCTGTATAAGTTGCTGTCAGTGTTCATTGTATATGGTATGTGATATCTGCCACTGGACTTCATCTTCAATTAAGTTGGAGATAAAACTGACCTTTGACTCCCATGTAGGTCATGCCAGTTTTACCTCTCTCCCTGGTCCTTCCCTTCCTTTAATGTTTCGGATGGACCTGGGAAATCAGTTCTTTTTCTGGATTTGTATCCCACAACATGCAGGTGATAGATACAATATTCCAGAACGTGCATCATCTCAGGGCTTACATAGTGAAAGGAAATTGCCAAGTCAGAGCAGCACTCGGGACCCTGGGGAAAGAAAAGAAGCTGTGCATTACCATCAAGAACACAGAATTGGCAAACGCTCCTCAAATCTTTGAAAAAACATGTAATTTCTATAATGTTACTGCAGATGCAAGCTTTAATCGCCTCCAAAAGTAGAACTGGTAAGAAATTTATTGCACTGTGGACTATTAGTCTGTACTCTCATCAAAAAGCTTTTTTCTGGGTGTGGGTGTTCAGGGGAAAAGGAAAGGAATAAATGAACGTGTGGGATGCCCGACTCACTCTGTAAGAACAAGATCTAATAACCACTTTATTTTCTCATTCATTGATCAGCATTAAAGGAGACAGGCTCACATTTAAATATGTTCTGAGCACAACTTTCCCCTCAAAAGCAAAAATCACAACTCAAACTTATAATTTCCCATGACTACAACTCGTAGAATTCTTGACTTTCCTTGATCTTCCTCTTCCCCATGGTAACTTATAACAGTACTAGCCTCACCCCTGGAACCCTTCATTTAAAAAACTGCTGCATGACTTCCCAATAAGAGTTAATAACGTCCTGAACTGCAGAACATTAAGGCCCAAAAGGTACATATTCCCAACATCAAGAATGGAAACAGAAGTTGCTAGAAAAGCTCCACAGGTCTGGCAGCATCTGTGAAGCAAAATCAGAGTTAACATTTTGGGTCCGATGACCCTTCCTCAGAACAGTTCTGAGGAAGGGTCACTGGACCCGAAACGTTAACTCTGAATGTTTCTTCACAGATGCTGCCAGACCTGCTGAGCTTTTCTAGCAAATTCTGTTTTTGTTCCTGATTTACAGCATCTGCAGTTCTTTTGGTTTTTAATCAAGGATGGAAATCTTTTTGATAATCTAACTGAACCTAAACAAGGACAATTTTATTTTACTTATGCTACACAGATCTTAACTATTAAAAATGATGGTATGCTTTGGAAGGATTCGGGTTTGAATCCTCTAGCCTAATTTATGTGTTTACAGTTTGCAGTTCTGAAGAAAGGTCACTGGACCCAAAATGTTAATTCTGATTTCTCTCCGCAGATGCTGTCAGACCTGCGGAGATTTTCCAGCAATTTCTGTTTTTGTTTCCAATTTCCAGCCTCCGCAGTTTGCTTGGCTTTTTTTTTTATAGGTTTCTGCAATGTTACAATCTTGAGGAGATCAGCAACTTTCAAAAAGAAATTCAAACTCCATATTATTAACTGAAAGAATTACACCACAAGATTAATTCACATTTCAAACAGAAACATTTAAAATATAGGAGCTTAAAAAGCATGTACTGCTAATCTGACCCCATATTTCATTAATATTAATACCTTACAGTCAAAAATCACAAGAAAACTGCTTGTTCAATTTTATTTCAAGCCACATATTTCTCTAAAACTTATGCAATCTTGAGGGTTCCACCATGTCTCCTGAGGGCAAACCAAAATGTGTGCCTTTTCGAAATTTCACTTTGATTTACTGTGGTGTTCCCACTATTCTTTGAGGTATTAGATTTCTTGGCATCCTTCCATTAACATTTAAGTGATCCTCCAATTCTCCTTAAGCATCACACAATTGTGGACAACCCAGATCAAGCATGTGGCTCAATGCATTCTTGCTTAGTGACTCCAACTCAGAAATACCCTTGATTTTTAAAAGCCCTGTGCTCCTAGTTCACAGCTCCTTCCAATCCCTAACTGCTAGCAGCTTTCCCTCTTTCACCTTCCAAGACACTAATTGCCTGTTCAGAGATAGCAAGAACTGCTGATGCTGGAGTCAGACATAACAGTGTAGAGCTGGAGGAGCACAGCATGCCAGGCAGCATCAGAGGAGCAGGAAAGTTGACTTTTTCGGTGGGGACCCTTCTTCAGAAATAACCATTTCTGACTAATTGCCTGTTTCTGTGAAAAATAATCACAAAAGGTTACTTCGCTGCATAACCAATTTTAATCAGAACATGGCACATCTGGGATGTTCCACAAGAGATTCAAACCCTCCCATCACCAATTCCTAAACCTGGCCCCTCATCTGAGAAACCATAAGCAGAATGCAAATTCCTCACGAAGATAACTGCAGACATCTTGTCTCCACCAATAAACTCCGGGGGGCTACACATTGCTTAATGTTTTCCCACTTCCAACTCTGACCTCACAGGCTACCCTTTTTAAACTGTCATTAATTTAGGAGTGTTTGCCAGCTTCTGACCAGCAGTTTTCATTTTTCTTGGATTTAAAAAAAACTTAATCCCCAAACTACAAGTTATACTCGTAAAATATACGATTACAAATAACATATTCAAAATATTTCATTGTTTAATCGTCTCTGCACTGCTGTGGCATGGGCTTCGTTGCTATAATCCAGAAAAAAATGTTCCTTACATAATTGTTATATGGCATTGCCAATGACTCTTGGTATGCATAAGAAAAAATCTGCATTTATCTAGCCCCTCAACCTATTTCTCTGAGAAGTCTTAAAGCTTAATTTACAACTAATCACTTCAAACTGCACATCCCATAAATACCAATTTGATGAATATTGATGATTCTAAAACGAAAAATATTAATTGGCATCCATCCTGATTTTCCAAATTTGTCTTTGGCAGCATTGTCCACATCCCAATGAAGAAATACCAACCAGAATACCAGAACTCTCTACGCTTTGAGTGGAAATGAAAATGGGAGATTCCTCAATGGTCTGCTGACTGGTCGGTTTTATGTTAGATTTTCAACTTGTTGCTCTATCTTCTTGAATCCAAATGTAGACAAAGAAGTTAATCTGGGACTTCTCAAATCTGGACCACAGCTGGAACACTAAGCAATTTTGGTCTCTGTGTGTAAGGAAGGACATACTAGCATTGCATTACAATTAATATTCACTGGATTGGTACTGGGGCTGAAGGAGCTGTTCTAAGATGAGAGATGGAATAAACTAGATCTATATTCTCGAATTTTGAAGAAATACAGGTCAAACTGATTGAAACATACTCAATTCTGAAAAAGGGCATGGCAAAGTGGGCACTGAGGAATTGCTTCTGCTCAGGAAATCTACCTCGTGGGTACAGTCTCAGGATAAGGGGCCGATCATTTAGGTATCAGATGAAAAAAAAATCACTTCACCAAAGGATTGCAAATGTTTTGGAATTCTCTACCCTAGAGGATTGTGGGTGATCCATTGTTGAACATACTTAAGGCTGGGATAGACAAAATTTGGTCTCTCTCGAGGGAGATGGGGAGCAGGCAGGAAAGTAGAGTTGAAGCTGAGGATCAGCCATTATGATTTTGAATGGTCGAGTGGGCTTGATGGGCCAAATGATGTGCTTGAGTTCTTATGTCTAGTGCTCTTGAATCTGTGTGTCCTTAATTAATTACAGCCGCCATTATACCATCAGACAAGCAAAGGCAGCACATGGTCCAACAGCAATCAATGGAAAAGTTTTGTTCCTTATGCTATTAAATCATGACTAAGGCAACTAATTCAGCACAGCTCAGCAAGCAAACCTTGAACCCTACAATCTGAATGGATCAGTTGTCACCTGTAATTCTTGCTGTTTGTGTCAACATTCTTAATTATTGATGGATTGCCTGGTTTGGAAATGCTTCTGTTTTTTAGTTTAAACAAATAAAGATGATAAGAATTGATGATGCCTCTCATTACATCTGCTCAAGGGTCTTGTGATGATTTCATTCTAGGCTCATAAAAATACCTCATAACCATGCCAAAGCATTACTCGCAAATCCATGTGTTTGGTGCCTTATCTAATATCTGTCTTACTGACAATGCCTCGCCTGCCATCTGCTACTAGTCAAGTTCCAGAAGCGTAGGATATAAAAAGTCAGGAGATCACAAGACACATAATGCCCACCTACTGAGCAAAGGTGGTAATCATAAGCTGTCAATGTGTTACTGGCTGTTGCAGGTGGACTTGCACTAGATAAGACACTGTTTGGCTCTAGCTAGAAGAGAATACATGGGTATATGTTTCAAATTAAATATTTTCATTTGCCACAATTTGCAATAAAATGTCCCCAAGGATAAACTGTAGGCATAACACCTAGAATGTTTTCGTGGAAGTGTGTTGAACTTTAAAGGAGATAAATTGGACTTGTTAACAGTGTAAAAATTAGACACTTGCCAAAACTGCTGTAGGAAATTATAAGGCTATATTTGTTAACTTAGCTTTACTACAGAATTTGGGCATCCATTTTTTCATTTAATCTATGAATTTGGTTCCTTTCATTGACAAACTGTTTTTCTCTTCTCTCCTGGAGTCCCAGGGAGACGATGGCCTCGTGGTATTATTGCTGGATTGCTAATCAAGAGACCCAGGTAAAGTTCTGAAGACTTGGATTCAAATCCTGTCATGGCAGTTGGTGAAATTCGAATTCAATAAAAATTGGAATTAAGAGTCCAATGATGACCATGAATCGATTGTCAGAAAAACCTATCTGGTTCACTAATGTTCTTTAGCGAAGGAAACTGCCATCCTTATCTGATCTGGCCTACATGTGACTCCAAACCCACAGCACGTAGTTGACTCTTAAGCACCTGATGGGCAATAAATACTGGTTGTGACGCCCTCATCCAGTGAATGATTGAAAAAATACGGTTTCACCAATGGCACATTCATCAATTTTGCGGTAAGCTGCGGTCTGGGAGAGTTTTAACAGTCAGTATCTGATATAAGTGCATCACTACTGAGTCCATTCTCACCCTACCGAGTATCCATATGCATGTATCATACCAGTAGAGGTCACTGGGCAGCAACCATGAGTCAGAACCTTTCTTAGAAGGGAAAACATTTGTCAAATTTCCAATCCCCAATCCAGAGGTACTTTTCCAAGTCAAGCCAAAAACAAACAATGTAGCCTTGCAAGCTTACCAGACAGATGTCAATTGAAAACATGAAACATACCGTCCAATTGACTTGAAATATCCCTTGCCTTACATTTTGCAGAGTCTTGCCTTCAATCCAGTTATAGCGTTTGTGTAATTGGACCGAATAGTAAACCCAAATTATCCTATCAAATATTCAAAGCAAAATTTCTGACCACTATTGATTGGGAAATTCTGAAACAGAGGCTGTCCAATCTTGGCACAAGCTGTTTGATTTTGTTACTAATTAGCAATTATAAAATTGAGACTGATTTAAGCATTGTTTCTGGGTGTCTTAGTATCTGTAATGTTGTTTTGCCAATTTTTCTGCAACATCCATTATTGTGTGTATTTTTCTGTAATTGTAAACTGCAATTTCAGTAAACTTTTCATTATATTTCAAAGTAGAGAGACAGCCCCACTTCCTGACAGGATGATTGAGACTACTCCTAGTTTAACACCGTAGGAGAAATTTTTCAAAGGAAATCATAGGTAGTAGCTCTTTTGTTCTTGAACAGAAGTGTGGGCTCAAACCCCACTCTAGAAACTTGAACCACAAAATCACAGAAGGTGTTCCAGTGGAGCACTGAGGAAATGATGCACTATTGGAGGCACTGTCCTTCAAATGCACCATTAAATTGACCTCCTGTCTCCCTTCTTATACAGACATAAATCAACTAGCACTATTACAGCCAATGGATTTCTCCCTGATGTCCAAACCCATACTAGCTCCTCACTTAACATGGCCAAACAGTCAATTATTAACTGCTTTTTGTGGGATATTCCCGCGAACAAGTTTGCTGCTGTATTTAAGACATGACAACACTTCAAAAGTATTTCATTGGCTACATAATGTTTTGTGTTATCACAAGGTAATAGAAACTGCAATATAAATACAAATAAATCTGCTTTGCTTCAACACTTGGGGTATTTTCACAATTTCCCATTGTGTTGCTACAAAACAGAGGGTTGACCTATTTACTTATGCCAAACATTAAAGGTTAGCCATCCAAAATAAAGTGTCCCCAGGTGAAGTTTGAAGCTTCCGGTTGGTCAATTTAAATCACGTAATCACGATCGCAGCATTTGCAGTTAAGTCTCAGATTCTTCTATTTTAACAATGTGTACTCCTTCTAAAAAAAAAGGTTATAGCTTATTTTAGACAAGATATTAAACCAATTCTTTGTCAACACCACTGACTAGATATTTAGGCAATAATTATCCATCCTGCTGCATCACCAACTCTAAAGTCTGTAATAAAATCAGTCTGAGACACTCAATAGTGTTGTACTTGATTTCTACTAAACAAAACTCCCTTTCCCCTGCCTCAAACAGTTGTGGATAATTGACAGGAGTCTAAGAGTTGGAATCATAAACTCCATCAGTAACTCCCAACATTAATTTTTCTGTTTTTTTTCATGCTGAGAGAGAATTGTTTTCCTAAGTGGATTATTTCAAAAGCAAGGCTGGAAAGATATTCGAATTATTTAGAATTAAGGATATTATTTAATGAGCTGAGTGGCGAATGAAAAGCTCATCACTGAAATCCACTTTGTTAACATCTAAATATAGTTCTGTTTGGCAGTTAAATTCAACAACATCATGCACAGCAAGGTTTTTCTATTCTTGCAATGTCATAAAAAAAACCATTCATTTCTTGTCTGTGACAGGTACAGCTGATAAACCCTCAGGTCTCCATTTACAACTGTATCTCTGTTACTGCTGGAGTAACATACTATAAATGACGTTTGGACAGGAGAATTGTGTGTTTATGTACAATCAAGCTGACAGTCAGTTTTAAACATTCTAACTGGCCGCAATAATTCAAAAGTGTAACAACATCAGTAAATTAGTTAAAAATTCTTCCTTATTAACTTTGGGTTCTGCAGCCACCCAATGTTTAGGCTCTAAACATCATACAAATGCTGCTTCCTACTGGGAATGTAACACTTTCACAAACAAGATTAAATCTTGATGGCTTCGAACGTTCCCTGGAGATTTGCACAAACCAGAGTGGAGTGGGATTTTCCACCCACTGACTGATTTCATTCCTGTTTCAGTTCAAAACCCTACGGTCAGGCTGAATTGAAGTATTTTGGGCAGGTAACTGTTCTGACATAAAAACCGAAAGAACCTCAGATGCTGTTAATCAGGAACAAAAACAAAGTCGCTGGAAAAGCTCAGCAGGTCTGGCAGCATCTGTGAAGAAAATAAAACAGAGTTACCGTTTCGGGTCCGGTGACCCTGCCTCAGAACTTTTTCTGACATAATTAGGTTGCCAGCAAGATGAAGATTTTCTCTGCAGGATCCTGCCATGCCAGCAGGATGAAGGGCATACGAAGGTGAGCTCGTGGTCCACATTTGCCGCAGGGGTAGAGCAACCTCAACATTGCAAATTTGTCTGGGATCACCAGCCTTCCCTGTTACATCAGGACAGGCAGAGGTGCCCACAAGCGCTTATTTCCAGCAGAAATTTGAAATAGCAAAAGAAAGTGATGGTGCCGTACAGAACTCCAACCAAAGGACTGCTGCACGCTTCATATGTTCAACCAATGTACCTCCCTACCTCAATTCAGGATATTTACATATGAAAGAATTAAACTCAAAAATATTCTCAGTCCATTGATTTGGGGAGACAATGGCTTAGTGGTATTATCGCTGGACTGTTAATCCAGTGACCTAGATAACATTCTGGGGATTCGGGTTCGAATCCCGCCACAGCAGATGGTGGAATTTGAATTCAATACAATATCTGGAATTAAGAATCTAATGATGACCCTGAACCCATTGTCGATTGTTGGAAAAACCCATTTGGTTCACTAATACCCTTTAGGGAAGGAAACTGCCATCCTTACCTGGTCTAGCCCACATGTGACTCTAGGCCCACAGCAATGTGGTTGACTCTAGGCAATTAGGGATGGGCAATAAATGCTGCCTAGCCAGTGACACCCTCATCCCATTAATGAATAAAAGGAAATGAATAAAAAGGATCTCACCCAGGTTTTATAAAGGACTGTAGTGTCTCCTGGCTCATTGAAGATATCCAAGAGATATTCATTCAGTGGCAAAGCTGCTATTTGTTGTATATTCATGCCTACTGGACATTGGTCGAGTACAGGCTGGATCCTCTACATTCTTTTAGCCTGACGTTTCGGTAGATTGACCATAATTTGCAGTTGATTGTTTACAGTATTTACCAGATACATGCAACAACGCATTTGCAAGATCACCTCCAATCCACCCACTATCCTGACCTGGTGTCAAAATCTGGGCGTTCCCTTCCTAATAGCACTGTGGGTGAGTCAAAAAGGGAACCTAAGGTTGCCATAGTCTCGCTGGATCTTGGGGCTGCTTATTAGACAGAAGCAACTGGTGGTGGTTTAACCCGAGAGTCACCATACCTCAGGTGAGGGAACAGGTTGAGAAGGAGAGTCCTTCATGGTTACATCTGCCAGTTTGGGAACAGAACCTTAACCTCAATTGAGTCTACATCTCATAGAACACAGAGGTTTAAAAAGAAGGCTTCTCACCAGCACCTTCTTAAAGGCAGTTAGGAAAGGACAATAAATGCTGGCTTAGCCAGCAAAATCCTTATCTTGTGAAATTTAAAAAAATGTAATTATTAATAGACTTACATTTGTAGCTTTGTAGTAGCTGAATTTCCAATACCAGAAGCTGAGGTCCGGACAGCGTTTTATCAAGTGACTCAACAGTGTAAGAGGTAAAAATGTCTCTCTTAAGTGATTATCTCTGGAGTCTCCAGGCGTAATTCCAAGTATTTCCATACATTTCCCTAATGCTAGATCCTCAACATGAGAAGAATGATTGCAGGTCCTATCTCTGAAAGCGGCCACATACCTATTCAGAGCTTCTCTGCTCAAAACATAGCCAGGTCCTCCGCTCATGTAACCCTGTTTGAGGAATGTTTTAAAGCGCCTGCCCAGGTACACAGGTTCATTGGGGTTGTACTTGGAGAGAAGCAATCGGAGATTGTCAATGACAATATAGGTGTCGTCATCAGCCTTCAGAAACCAATCAGCCTCGTTGATGTGGTGTTTGTGCACATAATGGAAAGCTTTAATGGTTTTCCAGTACAACTGCTTCCTGCCCTCTTTCGTTTCCAGGCCAATGGTAGGAAAATCTGGATTGCTTTCTGAGCTCATGAATAGCAAAATTTTGCAGCGCTTGCCCCAGGTGGCTTTGACATGCTTGGCTTTAGTTTCCAGATTCTTGGGTGCGGTCATCACCCAGCAAAGGATGCGCACTTTCTTGTGCAGATCATCCGCTACAGACTCATTCCTTACTGTCAATAAGAAAAGCAGATGGGAACACCATCAATACAATCTAAACTGAAGGCAAAGCTTTTGTTATGTTGTGAACACACTTAAAACAAAAAATGGCCATTATTTGACATGATATGTTACAGGGCAAAACCAGGCTGGATCCAGTCATATACATTACACATCAGTCAGCAAAGAGTATTGCTATTTAAGTGTTCTGATCTTTGCAATAATTATGCATCCCACTCAAAGGTCAAATGTATATTGTGCTCAAACCATCAACAGGCCTTTAAATTCCATTTACGCTTCTTTTTGAGACTTTTTTCTCTCATTAGCAGCTCTGAATGGGTATACTTTTTGTGGCTATGTCCTTGTGGATTCTTGCAGTGCAATACTTAAAATAGCCACTCTTCATTTGGATGCCTAGACATTGAATGTCAGCAGATGATTCAACTGTGAGAGCATCACAAGCCAGCTCCAATGCTCTTCTCATTGAACCTGCGAGTGACAGAATTACACCAAACAGGAACAGGGACTCTGGCTGATTGTTCCTTTCACTGGCCTGCAATTCAATCTTTGAACAGGCAACTTAGGACAGGTCAGGTCAGGGACTAAACCTGCAACTTCCTACTCTGTAGGAAATTGCAGCATACCAAATGGTCCAACTGTCTGGCCAGAATACAATGGCATTCTTTAAATTTCGATCACTCACTTTAGCAAGTGATTTGATGTTTTGGATTTGAGCTCTGTGCAGATGATTCTAGGATTATGATAGGTCTTTACCATTAAGCTGCTTTATCTTGTGTTGCTGATGGATATTGAGTGAGCTGACTGGGCCCAAGAGGGTCACAGTATTATGCAAATGTAAAATATTTTGCACAGTCCGGTTCCTGTGTAGCATTTAATGGTTCCTCAATAGGGACCATGACAAAAAGCATATAGATTGTCTTCATATTTAGTTCGCAATCTTGGCTGAATCATTGAAAGTGCCAGAAGTGCTGGTCATTGGACAGGTGAAGGTAGGCAACAGAACAACCAGCCTTTTACAGATGTTATAATGCGAGGCTAGACAGTCAAATGTATGTTACAATTTGACCAAGGATGAATAACCTTTTTATAAAGTATACAAAGTGCAAGATCCCAAGTACTCACTCAGAGAATAAAGCCACTGGATTCCACAGTTTTGAACAAAAATAACTTTACTGTACAAAATTACACCAATATTACATTTGACAATATGTATAATACTTGTATTCTAACATCCAGAATTGACATGAGGTAAATATGGGTAACTATAGTCAGACACCTCATAGAGCACATGAAATCACACGTCAAGACAGATCCCATTAAGTTTCTCAGCAATCGTGCAGATGTTTGTGACACTGTGGTCATGAAATCTTATTAACACTTTAGAAGGGGTTCCAATTATTCACTTCCAAAGATATGGGATGAAGCTCCCTCAAAATCTACTCAATCATGGACTATCACAATGACTGCTCACATCCTGACAGTTCACGTTTCTTTTATGGGATGATGCTCATTGGATTCTGGAAACTGCACTCTAGTAGCTACCCATAGGCACAACACCAACTTTTTCTCAGAACAGCTAAGTTCACCAAGCTGTTACTGCCCCTAGATTTATCTGAGTTCTAATGCTGCTCAGCTGCACTAACACTGCTGTGCAGGCTTCTCACTGCACTCTCTCCTGTGCTGAACTATTAATGACTCAAGCTTATTTTCGGTCCCCCTGGCATTTTCTCAGTCTTGGCTCTAACACTTAGCTGCACCTACTGGCTCCCAGCAGTCACTTTCTCAGCAGTACAGATAATAGCTGCACATTTTCTGCATGGAATTTATTCCTTTACGTCTCTCTCTCTCTCTCTCAGTCCAGCTAACTCTATTAAATAAATGGCTCTTCAGTGACCCTTGACTTGTTTTAGGTGATATAATGAAAACCTCATAACAAGCCCTGCCTCCATTGTACGGCAAAATTGAAAATAACTAATACCAGAACATCAAGTTCCATGAATGTTGCAATTTTCACAGAATATTAGCTTACGCTGTAAAAATAAATAGGAGGTAAAAAAATGGATTTCATCACTTGGACTAAACAATAAAAGAAACCTGTGGATGCCACATTGTGGCACATACCTCAACAAACTCCCAGTTGAAGAGGAACTTGTAATTGTGAGAAGGGACAGAGAGGCTACGGAAGAATAAAATATATCCTCAAAATGTGGAATGATTAAAAATTAAATTAGAACTACAGCAGCTTTACCAGCTAAAGGAGCTAAACGAACAGCAAGAATCATGTCAAATGACGATTTTGATCACAAGTACAGGATTAGTTACTTACTTGAAGTACAATTCATCATTCCTTTCACAAGGGAATGGTAATAATGGAAGTTGCGATGTCTGTAATTAATCTGTATGTGATGTTGAATATGTAATGTGGCCTTGTTAACAAAATAGGAACAGATGAAAACTCCGATCACAATTCCAATGATAAAGTTGATAAAGGAGCTCACAGACCTTGGAACTGTCATGGTGTTCTGAGAAAAGCAAAAACAAATTACCACCCAATTTGAGAAACACAATGAATCATGCCACAGTCACCTTGACAGAGGTATTTACCTCAGCAATTCACATTTGAAATGACCTGCTCAATCACATTTGCAAGTTTAAATGGTTTCAGAGATAGGAGGAACTGCAGATGCTGGAGAATCTGAGATAACAAGGTGTAGAGCTGGATGAACACAGCAGGCCAAGCAGCATCAGAGGAGCAGGAAGGCTGACGTTTCGGGCCTAGACCCTTCTTCATGTTTGTTTTTTAAATGACATGCCTCAATATACAGCAGTGGTTCATAATTGAGAGTGCAGTGATGGTGGTTAGGAGTGATATGAAAAATGACTTCCTGTACTTTCCAGCCAGATTAAATTCAATCTCCATTGAATACAAACTTTTGTGATATTTACCCATGTTAAACTGATACCTGGACAGTGCAAAATTAGCAGACCAATTAAATTGAAGGTTCCATACTGGAGTCTGGCTCATAACAAAAGAATTCACATGCATATTTGCACAAACACAATTGTCTTACAATGTTAAGACAGAGTCAATGACAGCAGTAGGTCACTGTTAACATTAGAAGCATTAAAATGCCTGTGTATTGGACCATTTGACATCACATTAGTCTAAGTCTACAAAGTAACAAATGCAAACCCCAAATTATACCACCTTCTGGAAATACTGTCACAGCTCTTGGTTTGAGTGCGAACAGGCATTTAATCAGCTTGCATTGATATACATTAAACACTTTTTTGCTATAAAACAAGAAGATTTGCAGATCTCGTACATTAATGTGTGGGCTGTCCGAGTTGGATCATTCAGCATCCCCATATCAAATAAAAACAATTATACCCTCAGTCATAAAATGTCACACCAAGCAAAAGAACTGTGCCTCAGGTTATGCTTTGTGTGTGACCCTTGACAGTAAGTGTTAGAAGGTTAATTGACCTTAAAGAGTATCACAGAAAAGGCTAATCCTGGTGCTGACACATTTTACAGCAGGGTACACTGATGCCAATCATGAGAAGATGCCTTAGCTACTTCTTTGCTCCTCCTTCTTTGCACTGTAGGGCTGGCAAAGCTTATTATAAAACTTCTAATGTTGCTTAGTTAACTAACACACACCAGAAATTTATTAAAGTTATGTGGTTAAAACGTGAGACTTTCTGCTACCACTAAAGCTGTCGATTTGTTCCTTGCATGACTTCACTCCTGTTTCAGCTCATCTGCTAATGAGACCCTCATTCATCCATTTGTCACCTCCAGACGTGACTATTCAATGCACTCTGGCCGGTCTCCTACCAACTGTCGTAAGCCCAAAGTACTCCAAAACTCTGCTACCTGCTTTGACTTGCAGACAGTCCCATTTCGCTCCCTACCTACACTCACCTTTACTGGCTCCATCCCCGCCTCTTCGACCTGTTTGTTTCCTCTCCACCTATCCTCTCCTCTATCCCTCTTCTATCTGCCTCTCACTCTCTCCCTATTTATTTCAAAACCCCCTTCCCCTCCCCCTTTTCTGATGAAGGGTCTAGGCCCGAAACGTCAGCCTCTCTGCTCCTATGATGCTGCTTGGCCTGCTGGGTTCATCCAGCCCTGCCACTTGTTGTCTCGGATTCTCCAGCATCTGCAGTTCCTACTATCTCTGATTCAATTTTAACCCCACTGCGAAGCCTCTTCTAAGGATGCTTAACCTGAAGAAGTTACCCTCCTCCCTCCGGACAAACCTCAAGGGATCTCTCTCCCACTGCAACTCTCTCGTAATCTCTTCGGCCCTGAAACTGCTCGACCACGTCCTGAAGCAAACCAGGTACTACAGCCACATCACCTTCCACTATTCCCAATTCCTTCGCCTCCGCCGCATCTGCTCCCAGGATGAGGCATTCCACTCCCGTACATCTCAGTTGTCCATGTTTTTCAAGGACCGTAACTTCCCCTCCTCGGTGGTCGAGAACGCCCTCAACCGTGTCTCCCATATCTCCCGCACCTCATCCCTCACACCCCGTCCACGCAATAAGAACCAAAAAAGAATCCTCCTCGTCCTCACGTACCACCCCACCAACCTCCGGATCCAACGCATCATCCTCCGACACTTCCGCCATCTGCAATCCGACCCCACCACCAAAGACATCTTTCCCTCCCCACCCTTATCTGCTTTCCGGAGGGACAACTCTCTCCGTGACTCCCTTGTCTGCTCCACACTCCCCTCCAGCTCCACCACACCCGGCACTTTTCCCTGCAACCGCAGGAAGTGCTACACCTGCCCCCATACCTCCTCCCTCACCCCCATCCCAGGCCCCAAGAAGACTTTCCACATCAAGCAGATGTTCACCTGCACATCTGCCAATGTGGTATACTGCATCCGCTGTACCCGGTGTGGCTTCCTCTACATCAGGGAAACCAAGCGGAGACTTGGGGACCGCTTTGCAGAACACCTACGCTCGGTTCGCAACAAACAACTGCACCTCCCAGTCGCGAACCATTTCAACTCCCCCTCCCATTCCTCAGACGACATGTCCATCCTGGGCCTCCTGCAGTGCCACAACGATGCCACCCGAAGGTTGCAGGAACAGCAACTCATATTCCGCTTGGGAACCCTGCAGCCCAATGGTATCAATGTGGATTTCACAAGTTTCAAAATCTCCCCTCCCCCTACCGCATCCCAAAACCAGTCCAGCTCATCCCTGCCTCCCTAACCTGTTCTTCCTCCCACCTATCCCCTCCTCCCACCTCAAGCCGCACCTCCATCTCCTACAGACCAACCTCATCCCGCCCCCTTGACCTGTCCGTCCTCCCTGGACTGACCTATCCCCTTCCTAACTCCCTACCTACACTCACCTTTCCTGGCTCCATCCCCGCCTCTTCGACCTGTTTGTTTCCTCTCCACCTATCCTCTCCTCTATCCCTCTTCTATCCGCCTCCCACTCTCTCCCTATTTATTTCAAAACCCCCTTCCCCTCCCCCTTTTCTGATGAAGGGTCTAGGCCCGAAACGTCAGCCTCTCTGCTCCTATGATGCTGCTTGGCCTGCTGTGTTCATCCAGCTCTGCACCTTGTTGTCTCGGATTCTCCAGCATCTGCAGTTCCTACTATCTCCATTTCACTATCATCTCTGTGCTCCCTGACGTGCATTGTGTCATGACAACAGATCACAACACCAAACCACTCTTGACATTTTTAAAAATTTAAGTCGAGAATATGGACTTAAAAAAAGGACTGCAGGTGTAAACTGCTCTCTGGCCAGGTCCTGGATAGGAGGCACAGAATGCTGCCCTTGCAGAGTTTCAAAGAAATTTCAGCCAGAGAGAGATGCAAAACGGGAAGAGATAATAACTATGTCAACCTTCTCTGCAGAAAGCTATCTCTTACAGACATTGAGATAACAAGGTGTAGAGCTGGATGAACACATCAGGCCAAGCAGCATCAGAGGAACAGTCAGAGGAGCAGGAAAGTTGACATTCAGGTTCGAGACCCTTCTTCAGAACCTATCTCTCTTACAGACATTGTTTTGTGATTTTCCTTTCCAGCAATGCAGAATAAAAGGTTAAAAAGCAAATATAACCCTGATCTGTGCATGCGAGTGAGGGAAGATGCACTAGTGAATGGAGGGATTTGTGTATACTATTTGGGTTTGTGTGCAGGTGTGCTGTGAGGATACAGAAGAACCAAACACTATTCACCCCTGAATTGCAAGTAATTGCATTCTCTCACTCCGAGTGCTAGAAGCTAACTAATCAGTCAATTGGAAGTAGGTCAAGGAGGATTCTCCTGATCTGAGTGCTGACAGCCAACCACCAAAGGGAACAAGAGAAACGGATGTCAACTAACTGCAAAAGCCAAGAATCCCCACATCAACTGTTCAACTATAAAATTTCACTATCTACTGATCAAAAACCACCCAGAAACTGATACATACATTTTAAAACTCTTTTTAGAGCATTTCTTATTCTGAATCTGTGGCTCCACGTTATATCATTCTTTCTTTTCACATTTAGTATTAAATAAGCTCACTCTTTTGTTGACTCAAGAATGCCTGTTTAATTAGCTCCTTTTAAACAGATTCATTTGGTCTGGGAGAGAAGTATCTATAAAGAATGAATCCACTATAAATTGACCTTGTTGTGACCAAACAAGCAGATGGGTGAATAAAGAAGGGAGGCAGCTGATCCCCTTTCACCCAGGAGCTTAAAGACTTGGGGTATCCATCCAGAACTGTAACAATTTGGGTAAACTTGCCGGAGGTCTAACCATAATAACTGGTTTGTGGTCAAACAACAAGGGAGGTGACAGCATAGTGGTAATGAAACCGGGCTAGTAATTCAGGTAAATTTTGAATTCAGTAAAATTCTGAAATAAAAAAGACATAATAGCAACCATTACTGCTCAACAAAAAGCCCATCTTGTTCACTAATGTCCTTTAAGGAAGGAAGTCCATTGTCCTTACTAGGTCTGACCTTCATATGAATCCAGGCTGACAAGAATGTAAGGTGTAGAGCTAGATGAACACAGCAGGCTAAGCGGCATCAGAGGAGCAGGAAAGCTGACGTTTCAGGCCTAGACCCTTCTTCAGAAATGGGGGAAGGGAAGGGGATTCTGAAATAAATAGGGAGAGAAGGGGAGGTGGATAGAAGATGGAATAAGGAAAAGATAGGTGGAGAGGAGACAGACCGGTCAAAGAGGTGGGGGTGGAGCCAGTAAAGGTGAGTGTAGGTGGGGAGTTAGGGAGGGGATAGGTCAGTCCAGGGAGGACGGACAGGTCAAGGGGG